CTTCCTCACTTCACCCTCCCCTTCAAAGTAAGTATAGGAGAAACTACGATGGCTATATAGATGACCCTATAGCCAGTGTTTTGTTTGTCCATTCTGGGTTTACTTTGTATTTCTATTCCAGTACATTTCAGAGGAAAATATTCCTACTTCTTACTTTGCTGTATTTATTTGATAGTTTTAGGTACTTTGCAAATTATGATTTCACACACAAACCATATGATGAGGTTATGATTCACTGGTATAGAAAACATTACCCAACAATATAATTTAAGCTGAATCAGCTACGACAGTAAATAGTTAAGTATTCACACTACTTTTACTTTTGATGATCTAATACATTTTGCAAATTACTTTTACTTGCATTTTAAATGCAGGACGTTTCCTTGTAATGGAGCAGTATTATTTATTATTAATAATATTATTTATTTATTCTTTACAATTATTTACCTGTATCTTTTGGCAAGTGAACACTTTATCAACACAAGTTCTCAAGCTCTTCTGCATTCAGCTTTAAATGACCCCAACAACTGAGGGTTTTTGCATTAAAAGAGTTAAAAATGCAATTTATGAAAGCTTGACATGTGGGGTCACATGGATGCATGTATATAAAAAATATGGACGTGATAATTGTTCACATCCCTGGAGGAGTGGGTGTCATTGTCAGCAGTCACCTCTTTGTCTGGTCGGGTTATATGTGTCCCGGACTGCAGATTAATAATCGAGGACAAATATTAAAAAAGGTCCACTTCTTTTTTGAGAAAATATCATGAAAGCACATTTGTTCTCAAGGCCTTGGATTGTCTGAAAGCTTTTTTCAGTCTGTCCATTAAGAATTAATAACGGGAAGGACACCCAATTTTGTTAGCTGCCTTTAGACAAAATATATTCCTCTGCAATCAAATGTAATCATTATTACAGAGATTAATCACACCCAACGGGCCTCCATCTGGGGGCTGTTATTTATGACTCAGTTTTAGTCATAATTTAGCTGATATAAATAGTTTTCCAATTTAAGACATTTCTTAAAATGATAGAATCTATAAATCCACCACATTGGTACTGATCTGATACATTCGCCACAAAAACATTGAACCCTGATTATACTTGCTTAAAGTTGATTTGTGCTGTCATCTAAAATGAATTCTTGTTGTTTTTGTTATTATTATTATTATTATTATTATATAAGGCTGGAAATGTGGACTTTGTAACTATCTAATTGAACAAAGGTGATATGATGCTCATGTCACAGTTCGTGCTTTAATGATTCTCTGGGCACACGTTTTTTTCATGCACAACTTTTAATTCTATAATAACAGCAACCTTCACAATAACAAGAGTTGTGGACGAAATAAATGCACCATGGAATAAGCAGCAACAAAAACAACACAGCTGTGTAAAGGCGCTATGTACAGGCGTCACTGCATGGAGCTGTCTCAGTGTGTCTGCAGGTCCAGAGAAAGTCCCACTGTCTTAATGTCAAGGTCATGAGCTACCATATTTAGTCAAATAACTTTCGCTTTAGATGTTTGTTTTTGGTGCATTAGATTTGGACTTTTTCACATTGACTTCAGGAATGAAATTGCCCTTTCAGTCTTTACTTGCGCAAACCGTCAGTCCACACTCATCTTAATTCCTGCTTTTTCTGCGCGCGTCCCTGCCAGACTTCAGCTCCATCAGCTCCACCTCGTGCTTCGCCGCAGTCTCCAGGACTTTCTGTTTATTGTAGAAAACCACAAAGTTATTAATGATGGGGTGGATGGGCAAAGCGATGGCTATCACCCCGCACAGAAAGCTCACGGCCGCGTTGCACTTGCCGAGCGTAGTTTTGGGGTAGATGTCTCCGTAGCCCACCGTGGTCATGGTGATGATGGCCCACCAGAAAGACTGCGGGATACTCCTGAAAAGGGTCTCCGGGTGGCTTTGCTCCATGGTGTAGGCCAACGCAGAAAACACAAAGATCCCTACGCCCATGTACATGAGGAGCAGTCCGAGCTCTTTGAGGCTCTTCTTGAGCGCGTAGGTCAGAGTCTGCAGGCCGGAGGAGTGGCGCGCCAGCTTGAAAATACGCGCGATGCGCATGATGCGGAGCGCCTGGACAGCCTGCTGGACGTTACCCAGCTCCATCATGGATGTGGTGCCGAGGTAGGTGAGTGACAGGACCACGTAGAAAGGCATGATGGCCATAAAGTCTATGATGTTCATGAAGGAGAGCGCGAAGTGCAGCTTGTTCGGAGAGGAGGCGAGACGCAGCAGGTACTCCGCGGTGAACCACGACATGCAGGCGGTCTCGATCGCCTCCAGGGCCGGGTGCTCCACTAGCTTTCCCTCGGCGTCCGCCACCTGGAGCTCCGGGATGGTCCCCATGCACATCACCACCGCCGAAACCAGGACGGAGAGGAAGGATGCGATGGCAATAATGCGCGCCGGCAAGGAGGAATCCGGCTTATCCATCAGTTTCCACAGGAACCTCTGGCACCGCTGGCTGCGCGTAAAACACTGATCCACCTCCAGATCCTCCAGAATGACTTTGACTTTGTTTGCAATCTCCTTCAGCTCATCCTCCTTCTCACTTAGGTAACTTTTGCAGCACTCATCTAAAACACTTTGGTCTATTTTCCAGAACTCCATCTCCTTGATGAAACAGATGGGGCAGATGCCGCGTTTGATGTGGATTTCATCAAAATAGTAAACGTCGATGATGCACTTGAAGGCATCGGGATCTCGGTCAAAGTAAAACTCTTTCCTGCCCGGATCGAAGTCATCACAAAGCGACGTGATAACTTCGTAATTCTGAGTTGAGCAATTCAACAACTCCGCCAGTCTGCTGTCCGGATAGCGGTTCAAAACATCCCCAAAAAGCACCACTCGGACTCCGCCAATGTTCACAGCAATCTCCCCCTCGGCGCACAAACCAGTTCTATATTTTGGCTTCGGTAGTGTCCACATTTTACTAAATGTTTGACTGAATATCTGTGTATCCGATAATATCAAGGTAAAGCGTACTAGCCAGAATTCATGTCCATTACTTCGGCGCGTAAATGTTTCCTCTCAACACTGTTCCATGCACTGAATGGCACAGCTTGAGCGGCCACACTTCCCACCTCTCCCTCTATCTCGCTCTCTCTCTCGCTCTCTCTGTCACTCACTCACACACACACACACACACATTTGCAGGTCTTTCTTCTCTCGCTATTTTAGTCCAATGTGCAGCTTGTCCGGTTGCATTTGAAAACACAACTGAGTCAATAATTAAAAGAGCACAATTAATTAATCAGCACTGCGCCCTATAAGACCGCAGTTGTCCATTTCACATGTAGAAGGTAAAAGTCACTTCATTACTGTTATTTACAGTGTTGCTAATTTCCGATGGGAATTCTCCAAACGTCAAACATATTGATTGATCAAATACCATTGGTGATGGCAGAGATCAATGCTGGGAAACTGGATGCAGCACAGAACAGAGATAGTGCACTCTCTGGTGATCATGTACTGTATAGCATTAAGTGGTGGATGTACCTTTGCTCAAGCACTTCTTATGGATTTTAAGGTACTTTATAGAAGTATTTATATTTTATTCAACTGAATACTTCTATTCCACAACATTTCACAAGGGAATAACTTACTTTTTACTGTATCCGACAGCTGTAAGTACTGGTTAGTTAGTTTTACATAATCTTTGTCAAATCTTGTGACCTCTTACAAAAAGCAGCAGTATAGTTGGGACCCATTCTTACGTTTCAGATGTTTATGAGTTGTTAGGAGTTACACCAAAGAGAGATATGTTTTGTGGGCCACGCGGTAAAACGCTCCAATATTTCACAAAGACACAGTTAAAACATAAAAACAAATGGAACTTTTTTCTTCTGTCCTACCTCATTAATCCTGTCACAACCCCTCAGATTTATTGGAGGGGGCCTGAAGCTGTCAGGAAGCATTTGTCAGGAAGCATTTGACTCCAGTAGTAGGCCTAACTGTATACAGCTTTTCAAAGAGTTCACTGATTCCTGCATTATTTTCACACCCCTGACGGGCAGTTTTAATAAAATTATGCAGCAGAACCAGAGAAACCATCATTTTTATGTCGAAACCTGCCGCCTACATTACCCACAATGCAACTTCACAGTCTGATCGAAGATTCAGGTGTGTTGGTAGCCTATAGCCTCAAACAGAGATGAGGATGAGTTCCAGATTTTTTCATTTTCAAAGTTTTGTCTTCAGACCCAACCGGTGCTGACCCAGGTGACATCGCTTGAGGCAATTTATCAGATTTCACAGTTTCCACTGAAGCCACAAAAGGCTTCATACAACTTATTTTCACATAATGCAGTGTAAGGAGCACTCTGATGTGTAAAATTGGTTTAAAAGTAGCTCCACCTGACCAGCTACAACAGTTAAAAAACAACAACAATTTAAAAATGTAATATATAAATAATATATCACCGGGGATATTTTTCTATAATAGTACATTTAGCTTATAATACTTCTGTACTTAAAGTTTTAATCCTTAAGATTCCAGTACTGATTGGTGTGATAAGGTACATGAGGGTCTATGGGCAAAAATATAATATTCACTGGTTTGTTTTTATTAGTGTAGAATCACCGAAAAATATATTGTTGTGCTTTCGTTACCTTAGAATGAGCCATTTTCATCTACAGCGGGAGCAGGCCCTCTTCCGAGGAGTCCACAATGTTTCAATAGGCTCTCAATAGAGCCTTTCACATTTTTTACACGTTTCACGGCCACCACAGTTTCTCCAGGTTGCAGGTTTGCTGAAACTCTTGCCTATAAAAAAATCTGTCCGTGTTGATTATGTATGCAAACATCCATGAGAAAATGAAATGGGGGGCCTTAAAGGTTTTGCTAAATTTTTAGGCGGCCTCAAGCCTCCACAGATTGGGAAACTCTGGCTTACGAGGCGGGCGGTATTCAGTTATTGCAATTTAACTGCCAAATATATTCTTCACTAGATGTGTTTTAATTTAGAGTTGAGGGTCTTTATGTTTCTGTTCTGACTGATTTGGAGCCATCCACTTCATGAGCAACAGGGCCCTTATTGCTTGGTCATTGTGTGGGTCCTCTGTTTGCAGACTGCTAGCTGACCTCCAGCACATTGGTGTTGATATGGAAGCAGATGTAGGAGAAGTACTCTTGCTGACAGAGCCCTGGGATGTCACTGCTTACCTGTTTGGCAAAGGGGGACAGAAAAACAAACAAAATTGTGTGTCACACACACAGTGAACCAGTTAAAACCAACCAACGTACCCCAGGAGTGTTTGTGCAGCGTTCAAATCAAGTTGTTTTCCCAGGCAGCTCTGTGTTTTAGTTATCTTGGCACTGGCACAGTAGCCCACAGTTTCACTTTTCTCACTGCAGTCTGGCAAGGCCATGGATGAATTTGCATGAGACAGATGTAATTTCAAGTAGGCTGGACAGCAGATGGTTGACAGTTATGTAGACATCAACATGAAATCTGACTGGACAAACACTCTACTTACTGGCTGTAATTGGTCCTTTGAAACTTGAAAACATGAGAACTGTTCAGGAAGCATTGTCAAATTCTCTTTCAAACACTGAATATAAGCAAAAGGCTAAATGAAAATAAAAGCTTTTGTGAGCAGTTGTGAAGACGTATTCAGATTCAGATTCAGATTCAGTGGCAGGAATTAATAAAACAGAAATGGCTTCTTACATCTTCATACAGATGGTCTTGTTTGTGTGTGTAGGTCATATAGAGGAATCAGTATTCAATTAATAAAAAGTATCAATACCCAAATTTAAATATGCCCACCTAAAGCTGCTCTAATTACTATTTTTATATTAACTATGGATAAAATTGCTAAATGTGATGTGAAAGGCAGCCTTTGATAGCGCATTGCTGTTTTTCTTGACGCATTACCGCCACCTGTAGATCACTGGAACAGTTCAAAACCATCGATTGGACTGTGTATTGCATCATCCGCGTGTATGTGAAAGTGCATCATAAAAAACTTCTCCATAGTGCTACTAGTGGTCAAAAACTCCATAGGGTACCTTTGAGTAAAAGTACTACTACTAAGTGATATTCGATTATTAGATAAAAAGGTAAAAGTACTCATTATCCAGCAGAATGGCCCCCATCATCATTATACTATTATTTATGAACATAAACAACATTTAACAATAAATATCTTTGATGAGGATACTTTAAATTAGGTTACTTGGGAACTGTTACCAAGATACTGGATCTGCAATAGGCTAATATTGGCCCAGCCACTTAAGCGGAATAAACTTAGTGCCTCTCGAATGTGCTGAAGTCAAGCAGAAGTATAAAGTAGCACAAAAAGGCAATATGACTAAACTACAAGTAACTCACTTAAGTGCAGTGCTTGTGTTACTGGGGTCAGTTGTTTTCCATAATGGCTATGGGTTGATGCACTGTTGTGAGACAATTTAATCAACACATACTGATCCCAAGGTCATGAGTGAACATCCAAGCTCGAGAATTTGCATGTTTGTGTCTTCATGCATTTTCTCCTGTGCTTTAGATGAAACATGACAAATTTGGTTTGGCCTCTCACATCTGTCTTGCTGGCAGTGGCAGTGGGGTCCAGATGCATGAACAGTGAGGAGAGTTCTTCTCTCAGTTTCTTTGAACGCTTCCTGTCCGTCTGCAGCAGAAGAGCCTGATAGTTCACCGGTAACCCATACCTAGCAGGAGACATGACTGTGAGTCTACTCACACATAGAGATCACAGGAAAATGAATCACACGCCATTTTTCATTCATGTCTACAGAAAATGAGAGTAAATCAAGAGAGTGTTATCAGCACTGACCTGAGAACTGATTCCACAAACACCCTTAATGCTTTCAAGTGAATCCCGGCAACAAACACCTCATTGAAATTCACCTTCAGCCAGCGCACAAAGGTTCCCTGTGGAGGAGGCATTTATAATGTACCATAACACACATCCTAAAAACTTTAGAGAGCATACATGACGTTTGACTCACATATTGCTCCTTCTTGTGAACACTAAGCTGCTTCATCTCCTGCTGCCTCTTCTCCTCCAGATCAAAGCTGTACTCGCGCACGGTGAACCTGTGTGGATCATAGGCTACACTATGGTAATTGACACAGACAACACAGCTTTGACTTGATGGGGTATTTTCTGGCAATCCATCCTGCTTACTTGCTCTCCTGGGCTTTGGCTTTAAATTCACACACGGCTCTTTTGAAAAGTGTAACTGAGAAAACGCCTCCCTCTCCATCCTCGTACAGCTTCCTGATGTTCACACAAAACGACGACAGAACGTTAGAGTGACTCCTGACAGCATGCAGCATCAGGTTGAAGTCGAAGACAACAAAGAGAAAATAAAGTCAACAATTATCAGAGCAAAAGCTGTCACTTAAGACCCACTAGAGTGTGTGGCGGTGCCTATATCTGTAGAGACCCTGCCCTCTGCCTCTTTTTTCCTATTATTTTGCTGTGTTCTGGAAGTTTCTGGATGTCAACTTTTGGTGTGAACTTTGGACACTTTCTGTGTCTCGGTCTCAGAAAATAACATTATATTTCTCTGATTCACTGCTAATGTCACTTCCTAGCTTCATTCAGTCTCTAAGTCACTCAACCGGACTCTAAACTGATGTAATGCGGATGAACGGCCAGGACTTGATCTGTTGCTAAAAGCTTAAGGTCTACCTTCAGGACTCTTTGAACTCCGGAGTCTTTTCTTACTTTCAAGAGACTTTTTTATCAGTTTGCAGGTAAAATAACCCTTTTACATCATTTGTCCATCCTTGACAATTCTGGGTTTGACAGCAGTTTTCTAGTTATTGGTCTGCTTTAGGTGTTAGTCTACAAAGAACTTTATTTTTCCTTGTAAGGTATACTTAAACCATGTTTCAAGTTCTCGCATGACGTCCTAAAGCATTAAAAACTTCAACCGAATACTTTTTTTCCCTTTGAAAAAAACATTTCCTTCCGTGCTACCGATCCAAACCACATGGACTCTTACTTTCTCCCGGTAATGGAACACCTGTGGTTACTTAGCCTGACCTTTTGGATGCTGAGAACAGGTACTCAGTGCTTTGCCTGTGCACTTGTACTTGGATCAAGTGGAATGGCTTGTCTTACAGGCAGGAGTGGATAAAGACAGCTCACCTGCTGGACCGTGGAACCACAAACTCTGACAAGGATTCATAGGTCCTCTCCCACTGCAAGTAGCTCCCTCTGTGACCAAACATATGTGCAGAAATACATGAATAACACATGCATATACATACACTCTTATGTGGTATGAGTTATACATAGTTATATATATAGAAAGGTAGAATAACTTAGTTTGTTTAGTGTACATGTTTCACCGACCTGCTCACTAATACCAGTAGAGTGGTGAGGTACTCTGAGACCACCAGGTCTTCCTTCTTCACTATGTCATTCAGACTGCGAGTTTGCAAAGGCCCACTGGAAAGACAGACAATCCAGTTAAACATGTCATAGTTAACATAATGTTTTTTTCTAAATATGTAACTGAGGTCACTCACTTTTGCTTGTGCTCAAGGCTTTGCAAGCTTGTTTTCACACTGTTGTACGCCGCAGCTCGGGATTTTAACTCCGTCTCCATCTGGGAAACTTCCTGAAAGACATGCAGGACAGGTGTTAACAGCACACACCAGTATCAGCAGTACATGTGATAATCTCAAAAACTAAACTTTAATTGAACACATGCACATACAGAGACAAAACTTATTTTATTTGCAAATTGATTTAATCTGGATTTATCAAAAACCTCTTGGAATATGTGATGCAAAGTTCAGTTTCTTTTTATTTAAGACTTTAAGATTTTAGGTAGTTCTTATCACACTGATGTATGTTCAAGGTTCATTTTGCTAGTTTTTCTTCAGTTTGGTTTTAATTTGTTATTTGATGCTATAAAAAGTGGGTTTCACATCATGCTTTACAGCTGAGACATTTAGTCGGCCAGCTGTATGGACGGGACCTCGACACCGTGGCTCCAACCCCGATCAATACTGGCTCTAATTGACCAAATCACCAGCGCAAAGTGGCATCACCCTTTATCCAGGATACTTTGGCTTCATTTTTGCACAGTGGGAGGAAGTAGAGATGCGACGTCCATCTTTTTTATGTCGATGGTCTGGAGCTGGTGTGCTGGCTCTGGGAAACCGTCTGGTTTCCGTTTGAGCATCGACTCTAGCAACAGTTTGCAAACCCACAATATCACTAATGTTAGCTTCATTACTTGCTTGTGTCTTTGTTTGCTCTATATCATCATGTACAATATGGATATTTGAATCTGACTTGCTGCAGGAGGAGGATGTTTTCAATGATTATCTGTCTCATGTTCCACTGTCAGGATAAAGTTTCATTAAATATGACAAAGAAATAGTCCATAAAAACATCTCATTGTCAGGTAACGAAAACACAACAATTATTATTTTTAGTTAAAACACTATTAAAAACATACATATTATAAAATTATATTCCATTTCTGCACACTGGACCTTTAACCGTATTGGATTTCTCCAGCATTGCTTTAAATAACGTTCTTTTTGCGTACAACATAATGAGTCTGATGCTGTCAGCTCAACAAAAACAGCAGCGAGTGTATGAAAAGTCAGTGTAGGAGGTTTTGGGTAAAACTTTTAAACTCCTCTGACAAGATTATTGTTGTATTATTGTATCAGTGGAACACAGTGAACTGAGGCTGCTGCCGCCGGAGGGAAACAGAGTCACAACTGAGTGAAAAATAACAGCAGGAGTTGCTGCGTTTCTGACTCGCTTCGCCTCGTTACTGCCTCATTTTAAATTTTCTTCAATTTTCTGCTGTCGCTC